GGTTTTATGTCTTAACACCTGCGAGTTTACAAGAGCCTGTATTTGTTTTGTCATTTCTGTTAGACAATGTGATTGAAGAACTCTTTGCTTCACAAACAAGTTTTAATGAAAGGTAACGTTGGCATACACACAGGGGATGAATGCACACAGCTCACATTAAAACAAAGTCATCTAATGTCTAACAAATCACAGCCAGGCTGCCCAAGAATGCACAGATCCTTCAGTCCACTGTCTGCTTTTTTCCCTTCCTTCTGATTCTTATTGCTGATGTTTTTGGTATTTGAAGGTGTTTTCTGACATCATTTCTATAGTTTGAAAAAATCAGTCTTTCTAATATTGCAGAGGATGCATGGATTTGCAACTTGACACCCCCACCCCACCACCTCCTCCATAAAACCAAAACTGAATCAATGCAAACAGTCAGTACCAGCCAGATTTCTCTTGTGACTTTTATTCCTACACATACACATCTTTGTAAGTTTTGCATTCCTGACAGAAGATCCAGAGTAACAGATGTTCTCATCTGTTTGTCTCTTAAAAGCTTTTATAATTGTGGTTTTTATTGGACCCTTAATACTTTATAAAGCTTTTTATTTTTAAATTGAAGCACATGACTGTGACTGGAGGCTCTTACTTCTCCTGCTCCAGTGATTGCTCATTGTTGGCTTTAATTTGTCTCCTCACAGAGTAATTTACTCTTAGGGAAGATGTGTGTTACCAGGAGTGAGTCAGCAGTCCAGGTCAAACACTCCAGCGTATCTGCTGGCCTCTGCTGGGAGAAAAAAGAGCTACAAGAGCAGTTTTTTGCCCCCCAGTACACTTCCTGTTTGCGGACCAATAACAAAAATAATTTCACTGAAAAAACAAAATACTAATGAATGGAGCACTGTTAAGTAGAAGGGGATGCAGAGCCTTAAGCTTCCAGTCTGGATTCAGGAGACAGAAACATCTCTACTTTCAAGGTTAGGGCTGGATCAGGTGTTAGTTATGCTGAAATAGGCCCAGGCTGCTGGGGGCTTCCCATGATGATGACGCTATGTGTTTTTACACCACTCTGCATTTAATCATTAGTTCTCATTAATCTCTGAGTCTCTCTCCCCTGAACACCAACAGCAGGGGGCTTTACCTTACAATACAAGAAATGCCTTGAGGTGACTGTTGTGGTGATTCGGAGCTGTATAAATAACATGGAACACAATTTAACTGATTTTAATTGAATTATGTGTTTGTTTATTTTCTGTAATACATTTATTGTTTGAATGAGGTTAGTGTTTGTAAAAGTTAATCTCTGAGTTTCATTAGTTAGTCCTCTGATTCAGAGTGCTTTTCTACTCTGTGAAGGGGAAATGAATGGCTCAGTGATGTTAGTGTGTGGGCAGCTGCAGGCTGCCTGTCTACCTGCAGAGAGCATCTGTTAACAGATGGTGGCAGTGTCAAAAATATGTGATACAACCGCTCTGTGGTCTGCTCTTGCTTGTGCTTTTGTTGGTCATCAGCCAGCCACCGAGAAGAGCGAAGTCAGGAGCTGAAGAGAATGAAGAGAAACCGAGAGCTTTTCATAGAGAGCATCCCTTCTCTTATTTCCAGTGAACACTGTCTAGTCTGCTCCAACCACTCAGCATTCGACTACAGCTTCATCCACATCATTGTGTTTGACTGAGAACCAGTAAGCGTGGGCACACACAGGAGCACGCAACATGACAGCCACACCCACCTCATGCTCAAATCTGGACCACAGTTGTTTAACATAACGAAACCATTTACGGTAAGCTGCAAAAGTAAGTGAAGGAAGAAAATGATAAATACAAAAAAAAATAAAAATTGTAGTGAACATGTGAAAATTTTTGTCCAAAGTATAATGAAGACATGAAGAGCACTAAATGTCCTACACATGCACAGAGACAGCGTCTCTCAGCCTGTATGAGGACTTGTAGGACTGACTAAAACACAGCTTAGACTTCAGGATGAAGGAGATGTCTCAGCTGCACTGCCGCTCCTCCTCACTTCTGCTTTATTGCAGACAAAAGGTCCAACATCAGTTTTTGAAATCAAGAAAGTAACAAGACATTTTTAAGCAGTGTTGTTGTGAGTTTGCTAACTAATCTTAACAGTAATGTAGCCTGTGCTTCCTGTCTCAGTGATGTACCTCAGATGTTCCTCATTCCTAACCCCCCAAATCACAGAAACATGTCACACACTGTTGAATGTGCAGAAAACCGCAGGAGATGTATCTGAGCTGTGAGGAGCTGTCGACTTCCAAACTTTGACCAGTCACTTTATGAAAAAGGGAACACATGTAAGAAAGTTACATTCACAGACAACAGGATGCACAGGCTTGTGAAACTGATTACACTCGTCACAGTCCGGAAACACACAGGAGGGCAGGAGAGACTAAATCTGTTTGGGAATCATATTAAGCGAGGAAAGCTGAGAATCATATGATGAACGGATGATTGTTGTACCCTACTTTAGACTTTTCCATCTCTCAAACAGACACTTGCATCAGTGAGTAATGTGGAAGGCTGCCGTGTACGGATAAGAGGAGTTTCTGGTTAGGAAGTAGATTCCCGTCTAAACCAAACTTCATCTGTTCAACATACATGAATATAAGGCAGTGATTTTCTTTCTGTGTCACTTCCAACATATTCCCAGACTTAGGAGCATCGCTCCTCAGGGATTATTTATGTTTTCCATTTAATATGTTCAGCACACACACACAGACACACCCACACAGACAGACACACACACACACACACACAGACACACCCCTCACACAGAGACACACACACACCCACACACACACACACACACACACACACCGTGTCTGTTTACTTTAATAAATCAGATGTTTGTCGTCACGACCTGTGACTGCAGTCTACACACAAAAACTCATCTGCATTATTATTGTTATTCTTTGGGTCTGTTTGTTGCCACACTTCCAAAGTTCGTGGCTGTACAGTATGAATACACAGAGAAACATAAAAAAAAAAAACCGTATCTGTCACATGTTCAGTACAACACCGAGAGAACAAATGACTTTAGAAATAAGTCGAGCATAAATTTGAGAGACATTAAATTCTGGGCTTATTTTTGGTTTATGAGGGTAAAAAATACTTTTATCTTTCTAAATTAGTCTAATCGGTGCCGCGTTTGACTCAAGCGAAATCCACATTAAAAAATGCCCTTGCATCTTTACGTGCCATGCGTGTATATCCCACACCCCGACTCTCAGCAAAACAGAGGTAAGGAGGAACTGAGCGATGCTGGACGCGTTATTATTGCAAGCAACGGGACGGTGAGAGAAACTGGGAAGCCCAGGAGCAGACATATTGATCTCGAAAGGTAAAGCTCTTTTTTGTTTCTCTTAGCACTGCGGTAAAGAAGCGGGCGCAGATAGTGATGGGGCTGTCAGGGGGAAGCGTTATATGCGTCCACGGCGTGTCTGTGCGTGTGTCTGTCGGGCTCCAGCAGAGGTGGCTCACATTAGACATTTTGGGCAGTGCCTGCGCATTTCTTAATGTGGGTGTCAGGCCGACCTGCAGAAATGACGACGTGACGCTGAACTTTGCGGTGTCAGTCGTAAGGTTGGCTGCAGGAAGCTGATGCCCAGCAGCATCCATCCAGCTAGGGGTGAAGATCACACCTCCTCATCTTTTGTTACCGCGAATAGAAGCACCGCGAGCTATCTGGCACAATCTGGGCTTTATTATTGCATTGTTGCCAGCCACATGTCTCCATATTGAAATGCCGGTCAGAATCCATGCTGCTGCTGTTTCCCTGTATCAGAGGACCAGGGCCCATCTCTTCTGTCTGGCATCACACACACACACGGCTTAAGCTAAGCAGAATAGATCACAGCGAGTAGAGGGTGAGATCAAACGCGAACAGGCTGTACAAAGATAAGAACAAAAACCAGTCTGCAGAGACTATTCCAGCCTGCTGGAGTAAAAATGAATGAACTTGGAGCACGCAGTGGCTTAAAGTGACCTCATCCTGCTTCGTTAGTCTCGTGCTGTCATCACTATCGGTATAAAATCACTCACAGGATCATCTGATATCCAAAGCACCCTTCTAATGTCTAACTGTTGGCCTTTCATGGTTGTGATGACTGCAGGGGAGGGTCTTCTTGACTCTTGAACATGGTGTGGATATCATTTAGTTTAGTTTTAAAGGTCGCCGTGCACCCCACCTTCATGGGAGCCTCTTACAGCGCATTATTGGTCCTTTGTACTTCCTCTGCCAAACCGTGATCTACATTAGCATAGACTGCGGTGTTACTGGTAATGTGGTGTCTCCATGGAAACTGGAGCTGTCATATGACAAAGTCACTTAATATTAATCTTCAAACCTGCAAGCACGCAGCACAAGATTAAAAGCTCATTACAAAGCGTGTTTTATAAACCCGGGCTTCATTGCAGTTTTAATCACCCAGAATCATCATGTGATCACAGGGCCTCGTTTCTTTTACGATTACTGCCCAGGCCTGCAGTGCCCGAGATGCACGTGTAGTCTATTGAACCATGCCCCCAGGTTTGGTTTCAGGGTTCCCCTTTTCTGAAAATCCTTGTTTGCCAAAATACAGAAAACACAGACTATACTGTATCCAGGATGTCAGGTAACATATAATCTGTGCACACAAACTCTTGAGGGGAATTACAGTAAAAAAAAAGTGAACCCATCTCTTCCTGAAAACCCCACAAGGACCCATGAAGGTCTCCGAGATCCCAGTGCGGGACCTGGTGTCCCATATTTCTGTCTTTGATACGATTTATCACCACAGGCTGTGAAACTCCACCGTGTTACGTAGAGTCCTTAAAATCCAATACATACGGTACACATAGAAACTGTAATTATAGCTATATTAACATCAATACAATGATACAGTGAATGTGTACCACACATGCTATCCATTATAGCCACCCTGCTACCGTCGAACCAGTCGTGTGACGTCGTTATCGCAGCTGAACCAATGAAATTACTTCTAGCAATTTTACCGCGAGGAAGCGAAATATGGGCGTGTCCATGTTCGTCCTTCCAAAGAAAATGTAAAGAAGCTGCTAAATACACACGCGAACCAAAACGTAATGGCCTTGCTGGCTTACAGGTAAATGTACCCTGTGTCACTGGGGGCATGGTTAAGGTCCTCTCGGGCATACTTGCTGTTGCGTTGGAAGCGGCACCCTTTTGTTTTTGGGCGGAGCGTTAGTTGCTAGCCTTTTATTTAGCTAGCAGCGACTACCTCAGATAGCCGGTTGTAGGGACTCACATGGCGACACCTCTGTTGTTTCACAACGGCTCGGCTAGCTAACAGCAGCCCGTCTCCTGCCCTCGGCCTGACCCCATGGATCCCGGTGGAAGTGAACTGGACTCCAGCCTGCCTCAGCCAGACAACCCGTGTTTGATAGTGGAGGACTCCCAGCCGGACAGTGTCGCTTTAGAAGACGACCCCGAGAGCAGCTACCGAGCTCTGCTGGCCCGTCGCCTGTCCAGTCTACAGCCCACCGCTCGCAGCCCGGTACTGGTAAGGAGAAGATCTCATTCAGTAGCTCTCCTCTCTGTAATGCAGTTACTGATTACTTGAGCAGATAAAGAACAATAAGCACAGATTTATACTTGAGTAAAATGGTAAGACGAGTGGCTTTTTCACGGACGTTGCACTCAACTCGACCACAGACGGTCCAGTTCATTTCCTCAGCTATCCATCCGCCCATTAATCAGTCAGGCTCACTTTGAAAAACTGGGCAAAATGCAGGCTACACTTTGGACATACTGGCAGAGGCTGGTAATCTGTTACAAGCAAACTGACTCACACTCACATCTGAGCTGTCGAGAGGACTCTGCAGCTCAGATGTAAAGAGTAAACTCGTCACACAGAGGCCTGTGCTGGCTTTTTGTTCAGACCTGCTGGCAGGCGATCTCTCCTCCACGCTCTAAAGCACTAAACCTCCAGGGAAACACTGAAGCACAGTTCATGTGAGATACAACACTCAGGCATCTGTAACAGTAAACCACTGTTGGTTAGTAGTTGTTGTGCAGCTTTGAATTAGTTTAAACCCAAAACAAATGTTGCATGTTGAAAGTTGAAAATGTATAAAAAAGACAACTTCTGTCATTTACATTACAACCTTCTCTCTTCTAGGAATTAATATCTTCACCAATAGGAAGCAGGTGCTCTCAGACCGGCAGCCAATCAGAGAGCAACAGCCAGGCTGAGCCTGGTAAGTGTTTTCCAGTGTAGTGGGAGATAGTTAAGTGTTTCTTGTCCTGAATGAAGATAAAACAGCGCTTTTGCTTCTTTCTTAGACGGTCTTGCTGCAGCCAACCCCAGTTCAGTGTTCCAGGAGGACAGTCAAGTTTTAAATATCTGCGCTCCTCCAAACAACAAAAAGTGTGTTTGATTTGTCCACTTTTGCAGTTTGATTGTGGTCAGGGTCAGATGGCAATGAAAGGTTTCACTTTATTTTTCAGGTGTGTACCAGAGGACGCTGACATGGATTCCGGTGCTGATTCTACTACACACTGTATTCAGTCTGAAGGTACGCATTTTTCCAACACATTAAGTTCCAAAAGCATCTGCCGGTCTGTTTGATGTCGTGCTTGGAAGTAACTGCTACGGGTTGTGTTGTGTTTCAGGGGAAGCTTCTCAGTTTGGTTTTCTTGAGCTTTCTCAGACTCAGGATCTGTGTGGGGAAGCTGTGAACAGTCAGGAGGAAGACGGAGACAAATGCAACAAATTGGGTATAAGGACTTTTATCCACGTGTCTGTATTACACTGTCATTATCCACATTAATAAAGGATTGCATTCAGCTGCTTGTCGCTCTGCGTCGGGGCGGTGACGCTCTGGTTTACCTCGTATTCGTGGCGTGCCTCTGACAGGCAAAACATGGAGGCAGAGCTGCTGTGCTTTTCAAACAGCTGCAACTAACATCTGTCTGCTGGGCTGCTAATGCGACCAGCATAACTAAGGTTCATGACCGTGTTTGTGCTGTTGTTGTTTGTTTACTGTTTTTTGCACTTTTAATGAAATGATCTGACAAAATAATGATGGCTGTGTCTCCAAGGAGGAGTGAAATACTATTTTATTAGCACTTCATAGCACTCATTAGCAGGCATCTATTTCACTGTGATTCATACATGGACAGGTGATTTGCTAACAAAGCTGGCCACCTTATGTGCTAGCTTACAACTTTAGATCTCGCTGGGCCTTTGTTTAAATTTTGATGTCATGATTTTGGCTTCCAGTGGAAACAAGATAATGGGTCCTTTTTTCACTTTTTGTTACTAAATGCTTGTTTTTGTGTTGTGGTAAATCAAGCACAACCATTCGATTTGCACGTCTTCAACATAAATACACACATGATTTAGTTCAGCAGTATCTACGATGACACACAGTCGTTAGTCAACAAGACTTGTGTTGAAAAAGTTGTGAAAGATTTCACTGATTGCACCTGTAGAAAGATCATTAGTGGCCCAACTGGTCTGGTTTCAGTGACACGTCACTCTGCTGTTGATCAGCTGTTTGCTGTTTATTGCTCCCTCGGCCCCTGCTGTGCGTCTCCTTACCCCACCTGACACCATCGTGCATCCCACGGTGAAGACTTTGGGCCAGCAGGAGCTGATGGTTGCCCTTGCTAAAAGGGCTTTACAGTCAACAGCATCAAGTCCAGATGACTCTTACATTCATCACCATGGTCACCCCTTTTTTTGATTTTGATTTTAAATAATCATAAATAGTGGAAATTGCAGTTATTGAACAAACACATTGTGATGGTTATTGGTCGAAGCAAACAGCCCTACTTCTGCTTTCAAATAAGCAACACAGCAGAGATCAAAATGCTTATGTTGAGTCTTGGACACAGGATTCACAAACATGGTGATTGATGTTGCCTTGTGTGCTGCCATCCTTTATATGCAGTCTATGGTTGCAACAGAAATGCGTTCCTGATCTCTGGATGCAGAATGAGGGGTGCTGGGTATAATTACGTTTTTACTTGTTCCGATCAGAGCATTCCCAGTAGGGCTGCCACGATTTGTCGACTAGTCACGATTACGTCGACTATCAAAATCGTCGACGACTGATTTAATAGTCGACGCGTCGTTTGAAGCTTTGTAAGATCCCAAAAGACGAAGGAATAAGTAGCAGGATTTAAGAGTGTAATAACGGACTGAAACAGAAGATGGCAGCACTGCATGTACAAGGATGCCAGCTGCCGTTAAACCCCGAAGAAGAAGAAGAAGCAGCTGTGTCCCAGAATTCATAGCGCGGCCCAGCTCAGTTTCCAACAATGGCGGCAGCTAGTTAGTTTTAATATTACTCTTATTATTCTTTCTGGGTCACAAAATAAACGTTTAACATATTTTCAGGCGAGAATGTAGCTGTGTAAACCTCAAATATCGGCTCAGTTTATCAGGACACCACATATTTTCAAAAGCGCTCCGACGTTTTTGGAGACGTCTGTTACCCACTAGCTCATAGCTAGCCGGGGGCTAGGTCACTAGCGCGGTGAGAACACCGGACTCCCGGCAAATTGTTTTCAAACCCACCGCCGTCTTTCGCTACTCAGGTTAAATATATATGAGTCACTTAGATAAATTAAAAATGTTGTTGTTTGGCTTTTTTTTTTTTTTAGTATTTTATTTGTTCCTGAGTAAATCAGTTTGTCTGAGATTAAAGTTATAGTTTTTACACAGCTGAATAAACGTCAAGCAGACAGCTGATTATCAGAAGTGTGAGATGCTGGAGAATATACTCCGTTGTCCTGTTATATTTTAGATAGCAAGGAGTTTATTAAACTTCACCGAAACAATCTGCAAATTTCATTAAAATTTAATAAACTACCATCTTGTCTTTATTTTTAGTTAGCACCTTAAAAGCTTAAAGCTGTAAGCTAATGATAGTTATATAAGAACATATGCTGCTGGTGCAATAAGCTGTAGTTTTACGTCCAGTGGATGATGATCTGATTAGTCGACTAATCGCATAAATAATCGGTGACTAGTCGACTATCAAAATAATCGTTTGTGGCAGCCCTAATTCCCAGTGACTCCATGAAGTTAAACAAAATAATCAATGTTCTCTTCATTCCCAGCAGAGCAGAACATCAGTTCCAGGACTTCAGAAAGTCAGGACAGCAAAGCGTTGAGGTGCAGCTCCATGTGACCTTTCAAAGTCTGCATTCATTAGATGTGCGTGTTTTGGCTTTGCACTGAAATTTCTTTTCTTCTCCAGGTCTGAGGTGAGCTCCAGCAGCTCATCAGAGTCTTTGGGTCAGTCAGGCAGGCAGCTGAGTGTCCAGGTCCTGCTGCACTCACAGAACCTGCAGGACTCTGCTGAGCAGGACCAGCAGGACTGTGAGATCCTGTCCTCACAGGACGATCTGTTCGATGCTGACAAGACAGGTACATTCATGTAGCACTCGAAGGATTACACATGTTGTCTTTTTAAGCCCATCACCTTCATATTGTCTAAGACCACACTGACAAACTGTCACATCAGAAATGTTGGCCTTAAGTGTGAGTTGTGGCCTTTTTTTTTGGAAGGTTGCCGTCTGGCAGTCAGCGCTATTTGGACAAACCTTTCAGGACTCATTTCTGTAACAGGTGGGCTGTGGATAACTGAAAAACACATTTTGGCAGAGGTGTACTGTGTCAGCCTTGTAATTTAAATTATTTAAAAATGCAGGTCTTTTTTAGTTTAATATTTTTTAATCATTAACTATAAAAAAGGGTCTTAGTTCCTGTTGTATTTTGCTTATTTGTTCATTCTCATCTCACTCCACGCCTTCCACACCCAAACATGACTGTATGCTCTTTGACTGCCTCACACATAGTAACCCAGGGGTTGTTGGAGGGACGAGTGTTTGAAAGTTCCTCACTGTGAGGAAGAGACACAATAACTCAGTTATTTACCTAAATGATTTGCCCTGCTTACATTTTGCTGTTAAGTTGGTGACGAGCTAACCAACAGATGTTGAACGTAGCGTAAAAATGAGTTTACAGGGAAATCATCGTGGACAAGGTTTCACCTGACGTGGTTGTTTGTTTTTTGTTAAATCACAAATAATCACAAACGCATGGAACGTGTTGGCGCAGTGAGCATGCCCCTGAATGGCAAAGCCTCCTTTGCTCTAGTCGTCTTCAGCGATCTCTAAGCCCTTACAGCTACGCTGGTGTGCTCCTAACATAGGGTGAGGCTTAGTAGACAGGCCCATATAAACCCGTGTATGTGTTTAAATCAGAATAACTGTGAAAAAATAACTCGCTGTATGAGAAGTTGTTGAAAGTAGAGGTGTGCAGCCCAGTTTGTGCTTCCTTCACTGTGAGTAACAGTCCTGGTTTGTTTCTCTCGTACAAACAGAAAATGATCTGAAATTACTCTAACTGCTTCTTTACTTTCAGGTGCTGCAGTGGACAGTACAGTGTCTGAGCCGGAGCAGCAGGGTCACCCCACCTCCACACCCGCCCACACCCTACAGCTGCTGCATCTATCGGGACAGGGAACACTGGTGCAGGAGAGTCTGTCCCAGTAAGCGGCGTGCTGCTCTTGCATCATTCACACACAATAAATCCCTGAAAAATGAGCTGATGTCCTTTTTTCTCTCCCCTCTAGGAGCTCTGTTGATTATGTCGCCCCCACCCCAGACAACTTTAGCCATACCCCTTTAATAGTTCCCAGCTCACCAACCGAACTAGAGGATGAAAATGGTAGATCTGCTTTATTATCTCAGTTTGGGTTCAGACATGGAATCAGCTGGTGGATAAAGCTAACGTCCCTTTGCGTTGTCAGGTGCTGATTCACAAATGGATACGTCACTGCCTCCGGATGACAGGGGAGCAGGAGAAAAGGACGAGCCAATGGAAACCGAGGCCGCCCCCAAGCCACAACCATCTGCATCTACTCCCATATCCCAAAGTTCCCCTGGTTTTGCTTTAGAACGAACTCTCTCTGTACCGTCCCAGCCCGAGTTCTCTCATGTATGTCCTTCACTCTTTACTTTCAGCAGCCTATTTAAAATGTTCCCAGTAGAAAATATGGATTATATATGTGATGTATTAAATTGTCAGAGGATAGAGTGCTAGGCCCAGTGACAAAGACCGTTTGACCTGTCTAATCAATAAAAAATGCAAAGATCAGCAGATGATGTTGTGGTCGGCTGTAGGTCAGCTGACCAGCTGGTTGAAGAGTTCATTGATTTCAGCACCAACTTTGTTTGTGCCCTTATAAAGAAAACCATGTTGACTGTAGTTGTTCCTCTGAGGAGGAGAACCGTTACTTTCAGTGTAGGACTGCTGCTGGTTGTTAACACCGGGTCTTTGTGCCGCTCCTCCTTTCACTCTCAGAAATGAAGGGAGACGTGGTAAACAGCTTTCGTCTGATTGGCTGCCCCTCGTAAAGAGAGTTTGAGCAGCAGGTAGAGTTTGCTTCTGTGTCAGATGAGCAGTATGTCCTCTGTCACATCCTGCAACGTCCAGTTTAAAGGCTGAATCTCTGGTTTATAACTGTGCAAAAGTCTTGAGTCATCTGGGTTTTGTATATCTTGTTCTTTCAAGCAGACAGCTTCTTGTAGCTTTGGACAGTTTTCCAGACGTTCTAAAGGTCCAAAGGTTTCTTTGGACATTTGCTGTTTTGTTTTTTTTGTTTTTTTTGGTTTTGTTTTTGTTTTTCCTTCCCTTCACTCATTTTAGTTCATAACATTAACCTATGATTAATTCAAGCATAAAAGGCTCCTAACTTAACGGGTGAGCCAGTGTTGTCTAATGTATCTTTTGCCACTTGGTTATTAGAAGTCTGTCACAGAAACACATAATGTGTTCCCATCATTTTCTTTTGTTGAGCCTATGAAGAATACCAATGATAACAGTCTGTTTCAAGTTTCATGTCCCAGCGTGATGTGCACCAAAAATAATCTGAGGAAACTGGACAAAAGAGACAGCAGGTCTGAGACTATCGGCAGCAGATGAACATCTGAAAGTCATGTTTTAAGATGCCTGACGCAGGACCTAAGAGACACGTGTGACTCTGTATTAGATCCACCGGCTGATCAGTGAAGCCTCGTCAGGAACGGTCTCAGTGGAAGGCTGAGATAAGCCAAGTTACACAAAGGCTGGGCTGAAAATCAGGAAAGTGACGAATGCACAATTTCTGGTTCAAATGAATGTAAATGTGTAGCGAGGGTGTGCAGTGACCCTACAGCCACCTGTAGAACAGGGTGGAGGCTCTGACGTGGTTTGAGGCTGCGTTTCAGGGATTTTGCCAAACCAGGTGGAATTATGAACATGGAAAGCATCTGACTGACAGTGGCTTCAGGTTTTTCAGTGTAGCCAGGCACACTGCCAGTCCACAGTTCACCACAGTGTGGGATCACTTTGACAGAAAGCAGAACAAACCTTGGAGAAGTAGTGCTGAAGACTGCTTAGAAAAAGCAGGAATGCCTAAGAGAGCTGAGGCTGTGTTGGTAAAATAAAGCAAAAGCTCTTCTTCCCTCATATGTGCTACCTTTGCACGCGTGTCGATAAATGTCTTCCCAGTTTTCCTGGTAAAATATAAAAAAATAAAGGGTGACTCAAAAGTTTTGCACAGTAATGCAGACTAACTTTGAAACTTTGGTGAATGCGTTGGTGCATGCGTAGAAAATGAATAGTTAAATAGACTTAATGCAGTGTGTGAATAAACGTGTCGTTTAGCTGCAGCTCTGATGATTTTCTGTGTTTCTAGGACGTATTTGTTCCGACGCAGAGCCAGGATGCACAAACGCATGAAAAGTCAGCGTCGTTGCCTTGTGAGACAGAGTCTCAGCATCTTGAGTCGGCTCCCTTCACCTTGCCTTTGCAGCTCTCTGTGAACACAGAGAGCTGCAGCTGTCATCAGCTCACCTCTGAGGAGGACAGCCAAGCCACTCAGATAGAGGAACTGGAGGAGCCGCTTGCCGTCGACACCAGCGACTCTGTGATTTCGTGTCACGATCAGAGAGAGGAGAGTAAAGCCGTCCCGTCGGAGTCACAAGCCGCCGCCGGCTCCAAAGTGTTGTCCTCTGCTGAATCACCGAAGCGCCACGTTGAATGTGCTGAGACTGAAGCGACCGATCTGGCCCAGAAATCAGCAGTTTCTCTGAATGTACAAAATGTGAATGTAAACGATGTGAAGGCTGACAGCAAAGATGCTGGCTGTGTTGACATGGTGTCTTGCTCGCAGCCAAAGTTTGATTCTGCTGATCTGACAGGTAAAAGCTGTGTGCAGGAGACTCCCTCAGACGCTACGCCCTGCAGCCTGCCTTCACAGTCTATGATTTCTCAAACATCTGCTGTGGATGCAGATGTGTCAGGAGGAACTGTAAAAAGTCCCTTTGTGGAATCGTCGTCGCCGCAGCCTGAGGTGGGGTGCAACAGCCAGACAGACAAAAACTCAATGCACGAACGAGGTGAAGAGGAGGATCAGGAGGTGGCGATGGAGGTGGAGAACGCTGAGGGTACCTCGGGAATGGGTCTGGTTCTCTCCCAGAGCCAGCTGTTGTCTCCTGAACCCATGGACGAGGAGATTGAGGACAAGGCAGAGGACAGCATCCTCTGTGTAACAGACAGTGAGAAAGAGGTGGCGTCACAATCAAAGACTCACAGTTCTCAACCAATCACAGGCCAAGTGTCAGTCTCTACCAATGGCCATGAATCCCAGACTCATGAGAAAGAGGCGCACTCAGCTCCCGATAGGCTGTCCCAGACGGAGAGGGTGGGCTGTGAACCAGAGGCCCTCAAAGAAAAGAGCTTGAGCGACAGCTCGGGAGGTGAGCGTTCTGAAGATGTGTTTTCTGCAGAGTAATCAGAGAGTCGTGTCCAAAGAGTAAAAACCCAAAACCCAGTAGTGTCTGTTAGAAAGAACTGAAAGGCCTCTTATAAAGGTTGAATTACTTTATCTTTGTCTTTAACCTGATTCTACTCGTGTGTTTCTGCTACAGACATTTCATTCCACTTCACCCTTCCTAAAGAAGGAGACTTGATTGGACCTGTTGTCGGCGCCACGCCACCGCTGATCAACCAGCTGAAGCAGACGCTGAGACACAGCACTCCCATCGGTGAGTGGCACCACACCGGTTCACCAAAAGCCAAAGAACATAACACGGTCCTAGTAATATTATTTTTTTCCCTCCTCCAGAGATCAGCTCTTTTTCTGAAAAGTCTGATGCAGTGGGTGATGTCTCTGCAGACATGGTGATGGCCAGCAGCGATATCGTTTTGGGTGGAAGTGGCGGTGACGCAGCTGACAAAGGTGACGGGAAGCTGAGCTTGAGGATGAAGCTGGTGACGCCCGTTGAGGAGGGCAGCTCGGAGCGTTTCAGCCTGCAGAGTAAGAACTCCTTCCACGCTGTTTGTGAAAAAGTGTCTCGCTGCCACACGCTCAGCGATGCATTTCTTTCCCCAGAGCCGACGCCACCAGAAGAGGATGGATCTGTCACCAAGGTTACGACCATTTCCCAGGCTGTAACCAGGTAAGCTGGCGCTCTCTCAGCACGTTAATTAAATTCTTTCATTTGTCGTCTTCTTCTCATTTCAGTCTAATCCACTTGTGCATGCTGTCTCTGTGTCATCTCCCAGTGTAGTTTGAGGTTTTGAGGTGCTCACGTCGTATCGATTGAACTCTAAATAACATTTTTAACTTAGTACTTTGTTAAAAGTATGCACCAAAACTTTATGTTGGATTCAAATTGTTAAATGTTGCCATTGTTGTACTTAAATTTGGAAACCGTGCCTTAAACTGCATGGTTGGATATTCTTCTGCTCCTCCCCGACACATCTGTGATGCTGTGGGAGGTAATTAGCTGTTTAACTGCAGGCACATTCCACGTGACATTCTGTTTCCTTATCTTCTGAGGGATGTCCACCCCCGGTCATTTAGGGGCTCGCCTATGCTTGCATATGGTGAACCATTAGAGTTAAGCCGTATACGGGTGTGGGGAGATGACCTTTAGATAACCAGGAAATGTGGTTATACAGTTGTAAGCATATATTGTGTGGCAGGAAGAGAGAGAGAGACACACACACACACACACACACACACACACACACAGTGTTTCAACCTTTTGTGACCGGTGAGGAGCGTGCAGGTAGTGCACACTACCGTATGCAGGTAGTGCACACTACCGTATGCAGGTAGTGCACACTACCGTATGCAGGTAGTGCACACTACCGTATGCAGGTAGTGCGCACTACCGTATGCAGGTAGTGTGCAGTGCAGTGACTGGATATCAAGCATGTTGGTTTGCTTACTATGTTAAAGAAATCGTTTTCTTTGAGCTACGGCGCGTGAGGATAAAACTTGAAAGGTTTGTTGTTCCATTGTTGACGTTCCAGCAGCCCGTCTGTGTTCACTCGGGTCAGGCAGGTGCACCGACAGCAGGAGGTGGAGGAGGACAGCCAGCCTGGAGGAAACACTACACTGGTCAGGTAAGCTCACATCATAGTCTCACAGAGGCAGATAAATGCATAAAGATTGACACTGTTTAAGCCTTTCACTGTGCTTGTCAATAAGGAATGCCATTACAGGTTCATATGTCTGGATAAATGTTGTGACTTTGCACTGCAGGCATGAAGGTCCGCAGGGAAAAGCCTGCCACACGCTCACAGCAGTGTTGTCCCACTTTTGTTAGCATTTTGAGCCTGTGATTTGCCCAGTGTTAATGTTAGCACATGCACATGACAGCATTCACCACACTGGCTGTCCTGTGTCATCCTGACACTATCTGTTCCCACTTTATAAATCATCTAGTCCTTCACATGTCTGTCTGACCCTGGGATTTGTCCCCTGATGTAGTGTGTGTTAGAACAGAAATAGGCTTCGTGCTGTGAGCCTGCGTGTGCATGTGACAGTGAGACCTACTTTGTTTCCAGAGGAGATTGGGTGGTTATTTTTTCTACTTGGTGCGTATTCTCTCAGGACATGGAGAGTGGTAAGGTGTGACAAAGTTGGGTCATTCTGCTGAATGTTCTCTGCAAACGTAGTGGAACAGCCACACTGCTGTGATCCTTTGTGGAAACATTAGGGCTGCTCTGACTCGTTATCAGTCGACTGATTAAGAAAAGACACGCGTCCATGCCATGTGTTTACCTTTGGAAACGATTTGGTGTGTGACACTGCTTTTGGAGCCTTTGGTACAAACAGGTTTTCAGCAAATCTGTGAAAAGCAGTGAACAGAAGTATTTTGTGGTTGCTGGACTAACTAACCACTAGAAAAGCTAAACATGAATGTTTAAAAGCAGAAAGGTTCTCGTTGGGATTGCTGACCTGTAATTTGATCACTGGTAAGATGCTCCATAGTTATGTACCGTCTTTTCCAGGGGGGAACTGTTCGCCTCACCACAGAGGAGCTCTCAGGCGTCCGTATCGAAATGCAACAGTCTGCCGAACAGCCAGGATGTATCGACCGCGCCGCAGCAGGACCTGCGGGATGCGCTCGCCCCTGCTGAGCCGCCTGAGGACAGCAGAGGACTGCCTGATGCTCAAGAGCCGACCTTCCCGAGCAGCACAACAGTCAGGCAGAAGGTGGTTTCCCAGCCGGCCTCTGAGAACACCATCACCTCCACACCGCCCAGCAAGGTATGCAACTCAGGATCAGTGATGCAGAGTTGAATAAAAATGTGGTCTCCATCATCGAATTTCCCAGAGGAACCCACCCGAGGGATTAATAAAGTTCTATCTAATCTATTTGATGTTATTGTGATATTAATCAGTCTGTCCTGTGTGCTCAGACATGCCAGCGGACAGTCTCCCAGCAGACCGGCTTCGATGCAGCGGGGTTTCGCTCCCCAGCTGGCCGGGTACGCACACTGAGCCTCTTTGGACGAAGAGATCAACCACGCGTTTCTATCGTTCATTTGTCATTCTTCAATTTCTTTTGTATTGAAAGGGTGAACCCGAGTCCCCGTCCTTTAGAAGAACCGCCGTTCCCTCTCACCGCAGACACGTGCGCACCATCCAGGAAGTGCGGACCACCGTCACTCGGATCATTACCGATGTGTATTATGAGGACGGCAAAGAGGTGGATCGCAAAGTCACCGAGGTAACTGTCTCTGGGTCTGATTCCTGGAGCCTGTGTTTTTGTATTTGCTGTCTGTCAGAACATGTCAGGGCTGTAAGTTCATGCAATCCTCCTCTGCACAGTTCAGAGAGCAGCACTGCTGTGCAATTCACAGTTATGTGATTTTATCGAGAAACATCACCGTGATTAAAATCTGCATCATTTGTCCAAACACAGTGTTCGTTTAATTTCTGCTGAATATTCATTTCTTAAAAAATCACATGGGTCTGAGTGTGCATGAGCACGAGCTGCAGCCTCCAGAACGAGAAGGAAAGCATTGACTGCCATGCAATCCTGTGCAGACATCCGTGGTTCTTTCACTATCAGGCCTCTTTGTTTTTAAAGGAAAATGCATTTATGGATTTTGGCTGTTTAACGTGTTCGTGTCACTGCCCGACGTGTCCAGGAGAGCGAGGAGCCCGTGGTGGACTGTCAGGTCTTGGACAGCGACATCTCTCCGTGCCGCACAGGCAGCAGTTCTGTGACCTCTGGTGATCTGGGGGACATCAGCTCGCTTTCGTCCAAAGCGTCCAGCCTGCAGCACAGCTCCGGGGGAACCAGCAGCAGTATGGGCCTCACCAGACCAGACTTCATCATTCCAGCGAGCAGAGGGTTCAAATCCACGAGGTAACTCCTCATCCTCCACCGTCCCAAAGTTCTTACCGTTTCTCCTCAACCTTCCTGCTCTTTCTCTCTGCACTAGTTGCATGCTGTGTCACTTCTTCACCTGCTGTGACTCTAACACCCTGATTTCTCAGTGATTCACTGATCCCTGCCTGCGACAGGTCCGTGTTGTCACAGGTGTAGATCTGGGGTCGCTGCACAGCTCTCACTTGACAGTGAAGTGACTTTTCAAAGTGTCCCCAGATCGGTGCCTGTGCAACCTGACCGGCTCCATTCGTCCCCTCTGTGTGTCTGCAGTCCAAGGAGGGGAGGTGGGCATCAACAGAGGGGTCACAGGGGTCACAGGGCAGGGTCAGTGGTCACACTGAACAGAGGCTACAGCACGCTGGGGTCCCGGGCCTTCGTCCCGCTGACCCCCAGAGGAAGGGCTAGAAGGGGCCGACCCCCGTCCCGCTCCTCCCTGTCCAGGTGAGTCCTCTCTGAGGCTCGCTCTGCACTTACAGAAACCATGGACAGGAAACACTCTGAGCCCTCGCCAGCTGCACGACCTTAATAACACTTTTTCCTTTTCTTACTCATTTTCTTCTCACTCAAACCTTATTCAGGTCCACGGCTTGCATCACCGTGAACCTGCCTCGTGCAGATTTACCCTGCGTAGTTAATCTGGGGCTAGATGGGGTGCTGCGTGTTATCACATTTGCAGAGTTTGTAGCTGATGCTCTTGAAGTGCTCCCATGCCACACAGACAGCAGCAGATTAGACTGTAAGCTTTAGTTGAGGTACGGGACAGAAAGCTAGTTTGTCTGCTAACCTCCAGCTGGATAAAAGCTGCTTTAAAGATACTCGTGGTTTGTTTCAACAAATAAGGATTATTTTGACATAGCAGGTCCAAAACAGCACTGTGCGTACTGTTAAAGCTAAAGGATATTCACTGATTCCATTAAAATGAATCTGTGGAATGTCTTCCATCTCTGCTTGGATAGGGACAACACAGGCCTTTTATACGAGACTGTTCTCTCTCAAAGGGGAGGAGGTGGCTCGCTGCAGAGACTGACGGCTCAGGGCCAGCCACAGTCGTCCTCAGAAGATGAGCCGTACAGCCGCGTGCTCCCCGTCAGCCCCACGGACCCCGAGCTGCCCAGCCACTCGGACTCCCTCAGGTCTTCGCCAGAGGCGGCGAGCTCAGCCGGGAGCAGCTTCATCGGCCTGCGAGTGGTGGCCAAGTGGTCATCCAATGGTTACTTCTACTCTGGTCGCATCATCAAAGACGCCGGCGAGGGGAGATTCCGCTTGCGGTTTGACGATGGCTACGAGTGTGAGGTTGCCGGGAAGGATATCCTGCTGTGTGATCCCATCCCGCTGGAGACGGAGGTCACTGCTCTGCTGGAAGACGAGTACTTCAGTATAGGTGAGGAAGTGACCGCGCGTAGTTTAGTAAGATCGCTGTGGTGATTTTGGTTTTTGTCCTTTTCTTCGACCTGGTTTAGACTGAGGAGATTTAACAGTGACATCAGCTCTGACTGTTTCTGTGGTTGTTGCATGAAAGACTAAAACATGCAGGACCGATGGTTCTTGTGTTTGTGCAGGTGTCGTTAAGGGCCATAAAACAGAGGGCCAGGAGCTGTTTTACAGCGTGGAGAAGGAGGGTCGGAGGCAGTGGTACAACAGGACATCGGTCATCCTGTCGCTGGAGCAGGGAAACAAGCTGAGGGAGCAGCACAGCCTCGGGCCCTACGAGCCCACCACTCCCCTGGCCAAGGCCTCCGACATCAGTCTGGGTGAGGCAGCTGCAGAGCTGAGGATGGACCCACACGGCTGTGGTACCGCCTCTGCCCGTGACTGTGCTTAACTGTTTTAAACCTCGACAAGACGGATTTTATTTTCACCTACAGTCCTCCTTAAACAGGTCAAACTCTTTGAAACAGACCAATAGAAAGTTCAGCCTGAGTTTAACCAGGTTCCTTCTGATCCTCTTCTCGACTGATGCGTCTGTTCCTCTGATCGCAGCTCTCACTGTTTTTAGAGCTTTTCAAAGCCAATCATTCTTATCCATGATGAAGACAGAAGGAACCAATAACATGCATGTTATAGTGTGTTTGTTACAGTACACAGTATGGTGTGGAGCCAGTGTTAGCATCTTCTTCTGTCTTCTGGCCCGTGTGTTCCTCTGTGATGACAGTCGGGTCAGCACAGGGTCATTATAAAAGGACGAGGTCCCGTTCTTAGTTTTTTACTCAGATATGCAGCCTTAGAGGTTCCTCACTTATTTTAATGCTTAGAGGCAGTAACTACAGGAAGTCTGTGTGTTTGGCCCAGCAGGCAAATGCAGTAGTATGTAAACGGCAGGCTCAGAGAGCTGGGAAGAAGTCCTGCATACATGTAGCACTCTGTCTAAAGAATACACTAGGAAGAGCTTGGTTTGCTTCAGGGGGCTGTGAGCCTGTTTGGAGTGTTCACGCATCATCCTGAACTCAGCTTAAAGGCACCTTTGAGAGCCCTGGTTTAATGTAATGGTAGAACGTACAGAACGCCATCAGGAGTGCTCCATGGCGCCTTTCATTCGTGCCCGCTGATACAGCTGCACTGAAAAATGAGACCAGAGCAGCGTTTCCTCGGCACACTGAACCTTCCTAACAGTGATCGTTTTCTGCAGCAGCTGTATTTAATAAAACCCACAGCAACAAACAAAGCCACCATCCTCTGATCAGACACGTGTGTTTGCTCTTTGCTCCGCCCTCTGTCATTTAAGGCTTGGGTTCACCATTCAAAACATGACGATTAAGATTATGCTGCCTGTGTAAGTTATGATGAGATCAGGGTTAATTGTTCAGGAGACAGATGACGTACAAAGATTTGCTCTGGAAGCAGGCGTGGCCGTCTAATACAGAAGCTCTGTTCCTGCGCCAGACTCCTCCTGTGTTATTGCTCCCGAGAGTAAAGACTACCTGTGTCATCCTACAGCTCATATTAGTGTCCAAAGCATCATCAGCAGACAGACGTCGTCCAGCTCTTCAGATACACTGAGACCTATAGTGAGACCAGTGTTTAAACCTAATATATGCTACTGTGTCAAGCTGAGTGTTCCCTTCAGTTTGCTGATATTTATTATTGTCCTCAGATAACTTGGTTGAGGGGAAGAGGAGACGCAGAGGAACCCCTGGAGGTCAGAACACTCCCAACCGCAGCTCCTCCAACAGCCCTCGCTCCCCGGGAACCTCCAGCAAGAGGAAGCTGATGGCCTCAGAGGACAACCAGGGGCCGGCCAAGAGAGGGCGCAGGGGGGCGGGGGCCAGAGCTGGTACGAAGACCGACTCGCCGTGACCATGGCTGTGTGTGTGTGTGTGTGTGTGTGTGTGTGTGTGTGGTTTGTTGGGGTTAATGTCATATATTTATGGTATTGCAGTTAACTTTGAATTTTAAAGTTGTGATTTTAAACGCGATGCAAACTGGTTTTAATGGACTGTTGATGATTAGCAGCTGATTTTTAACAGTTTTAAGATGACTTTTAATGATTGTGTGTAATAAACTGTTTTATTCATCCTGATGCAGACTTGATTCAGGTTGTTGTTCATGTGAAATCAGTAATATGCCATTTTTGTACTGAGCATAATGAAGACCTGTGTCTGCGGCCTGTGTGCGTCCTCTGCTGCTGAGACTGACTCGGTAATGAATAACTCACCCGCAGTTTTAGCGTGGTGTTCTTCACGGGTGGAGGGGAAGGGAAGTGGATTTCACGGGTGCATTATGTGAGCACAGCTGTTCTGTTTGACGTTGGGAAGGCGAGTTCAGCCACATCACAGAAACAGTTTCTCTGAGCTCTGTGCGCCCACCATGGGTGTGTTATTTCCCGTGCTGTGAGGAATGATGCTGCTGTTACACTCCTGCTTTATTCTCTGGGCAGGAACTCTTCCCCACGTCACAACAATACATCAGAAACTATCTCCATGGTTAAAATAAGTGAGAAACTGCTTTATTGTGGCTTTGGGTGAACTCGTCCTTTAAAGAAAGTGCAGCACTGTTCCCCGTCTTTAACCTCTAAGTCCTGCGTGTGTTTGCGTCCTCAGCTCAGCGGGTTGGTGTGTGCAATACCTCGGGCAGTGGCACCGATGTCCCGGGTCAGTCTGGGGACGTGGAAGACTCTCACGGTCCGCTGCCCCAGAACACATCCCTCTTTATGGGCTTCGCTTTCATGCTGACCGCGTCGTCTGAGACCGACCGCCTGACCAATAAGCTCACGAGCGAGGATGAGGAGGGTGAGACAGATTCTGCTTCGGTACCTCCAGATTTGATTTTGACAAAGCCCAGAGTTGAGCCTTCAGTTATGTCACATAAACACTAATGTTGCATAAAGATTTGTCTGGAAGCCCAAACGTAGCTGTCGACAGGGTTTTCTGTTGGCGGCAGCAGTGTTGCTCACTGATGAAGCAGTGATATCATCACATACATGTGCCTGGACAGATGAACATGAACACTCACTCTTACTGCTTTTCCCCAGTGATCGTGCATTTAATAACACTGTGTTTCCACATTTTTGAGAAGCATTTAATAATAATAATAATAATAATACATTTTATTTAAATAGCGCCTTTCAAAGCACCCAAGGACACTGTACAACAGATAAAAACTGGAAATATACACAATGGTAAAAATAGAAGATAAAAGTTAAAACATACAGAAATTTAAGAATAGGCAATTTTAAACAGATGAGTTTTGAGGGTGGACTTAAAAAGAGAGAATGAACTAATATTTCTGAGGTCCGGGGGTAGGGAATTCCAAAGTCGAGGGGCAGAGCAGCTAAAGGCCCTCCCTCCCATTGTGATCAGACGAGCAGAGGGAACAGAGAGAGAAAGAGAAGATGAAGATCTGAGGCAGCGGGATGGGAGCTTCATCTGTAATAAGTCAGAGAGGTACAGTGGAGAGAGAGAATGAATAGCCTTGAATGTATACAGAATTATTTTAAAATGGATGCGAAATTTGACCGGGAGCCAGTGAAGTTGCTTCAGGATTGGGGAGATGTGGTGGGTAGAAGAAGTCCTAGTAATAATACGGGCAGCAGAGTTCTGGACACGTTGGAGCTTGTTGATAGATTTTTGTGTGAGGCCAAATAATAATGAGTTGCAGTAGTCAATTCTAGAGATAACAAGATTATGGATGAGAATGGCAGTGGCGTGAGGTGTGAGGAAGGGGCGGAGGCGATTAATGTTACGGAGTTGGAAATATGCTGCACGTGTAATATTATTGATATGCGAGTTAAAGGATAATGTGCTATCGAGAATGACACCCAAGCTTTTCACAGAGGGAGAGATAGGGACCAGCGAGTTATTGATGGTGAGAGAGAAATTGTTAATTCTGGATAGCAGTCGTTTAGTGCCAACCAGAAGAAGTTCCGATTTATTGCTGTTGAGTTTAAGAAAGTTGGAGGAGAACCAAGAATTAAGTTCAGCTAGACAGAGGATGAGGGAGGGTGGAAGAAGAGTAGAGTCAGGTTTGGTAGAGAGATAGAGCTGGGTGTCATCGGCGTAGCAGTGGAACTGAATATTATATTTACGAAAAATATGTCCGAGTGGAAGAAGGTAGATGATGAAAAGAAGGGGCCCGAGGACAGATCCCTGGGGCACCCCAGTGGATAAAGGAGAAAGCTGAGAAGTGAAGGATTTTAATTGAATGAACTGAGTGCGGTCAGATAGGTATGATTTAAACCAGGCTAGTGGAGTGTGAGAGAGACCAATAGAAGAAGACCAATTTGGTGCATAAACTTGCTTATCGGGCTCGTTCCCACTGTGGGAGAATCACAGTTTAAACTACAGCGAGTAAAACTTCTTCCAGTAGCACCACTGGGTCCAGTTTAGCCCATCATTTTGTGGTGCTGATTTCTGGGCCATAATTACCTCTTTCCCACTATGTGGTGCTGGTGCTCCTCACGCCCCAACTGGTCATGGTGCTGGCGGAGGGTTCTTCCTTCCCACTGTCGCCAAGTGTCTGATAGTTTGGGTTTTCTCTCTAGTTTTGTGGGGTCTTTATCTTACAATATAAAGAAAATTGAGGCGACTGTTGTCATTGTTTGGTGCAATATAAATACTGTCGAACTGAACAGGACTCCACATTATCAGAAAAAGTGTGATGACCTGCACAAACGGTTTTCTCCATGGTTTGCAGAAATGTTCACGGTAGCTAACACTCAAAGTAATGTTTTTGTGTATTTCCAAAAAGTATTGGAACATCAAAACAACCACGAATGAGCTACAATGAACTAACAATGACAAAATGCATATAATGTGCAGCCAGGTGCATCTCGGGATATTAAAGGGGGCTGATTGTGGTTTACATGGTTCACAGCTGAAAGTAATCCTCGTCCTATGCTGACCTCGGTGCAGCTCCTCAGTTCATCCTCTGTCTGAAACCGTCTGTTTCAGCTGCAGCTCCAGGCAGCTTTCTTCTGCTTAGCTGCCTCACAGACAGATGAGGGGAACATAATTATCCGCTCTGAGAAAAACACTCTGAAAGTGGGTGTTCAGAGCATCCCGAGCGTTTTGCACAGACTTATTTCATTATGTGAAACTGGCTTTGTTTAAATGGTAAATGGCCTGTATTTATATAGCGCTTTACTAGTCTCTAAGAACCCCAAAGCGCTTTACATATCCAGTCATCCACCCATTCACACACACATTCACACACTGGTGATGGCAAGCTACATTGTAGCCACAGCCACCCTGGGGCGCACTGACAGAGGCGAGGCTGCCGGACACTGGCGCCACCGGGCCCTCTGACCACCACCAGTAGGCAAGGGGTGAAGTGTCTTGCCCATGGACACAACGACCGAGACTGTTCAAGCCGGGGCTCGAACCGGCAACCTTCCGATTACAAGGCAAACGCCCAACTCTTGAGCCACGATCGCCCCTTCAATATGAACATTCACCACTGGAAACATGAGAGTATGTGCGGCTAGCTAACTACACACTGGACTCAGCCCTAATTACAATTGTTGACGCTCTTCCTGCCTCCTTTCATGCTTTTCTCTTCAGATTATGTGCAGACGGGTCCGTATAACAAGTCATACACAGAAACCCAGCTGCAGGCGGGCGGAGGCTTCATCCTACCAAACTTCAATGAAGAACAGGTAAGTAATGAAAACACTAGCATGTGCCTGTGATCACACAGATATGTTTATGTTACACATATCTGTGCCATAAATCTGTCCAGCTCCAGGCTGTATTCACCAAAGCAATATCAGTGGCTGGTCATATGCACGTGGTCTTCTCCGTGGTTACAAACATCACCTAAAGTCTGAAGCAGTGCAGTAAATGAGTGTGTGTTTGATTCCCTTTTCAGTGTAAGGCAGCTTACCAGAGCCTGCTCATCGCGGACCAGCACTGCCGTACCAGGAAGTACCTGCTGTGTTTAGCCAGCGGCGTGCCGTGTGTGTCGCACATATGGGTGAGAGACTGCTGCAAAGAAAACAAACTGCTCAACTACAGGAACTACCTGCTGCCTGCCGGCGTGGGGCTGGACGATGCCATAGTGGAGTGGTGAGAGGCTGCTTTCTGTTTGGGATTTATTTATCGGTACGGTGCAAAAATAAAAGGTTCCATATGAAATGTAGCACATCTGCTGCACATCACATCAAAAGATTTGTTTTTATTGGGGGAACATGAAAGTCAACAAACAACCAAATGGTAACTGGACTGGTTCTTATACAGCGCTTTTTCTACTCTTCTGAGCACTTTACACAACTTGTGCATTCACCCATTCACACACATTTTCTAAGTGCTTTCTAACATTCACACATGCATCAGAGAGCAATTTGGGGTTAGTATCGTGCCCAAGGATATTTGGCATTCAGACTAGGGGAAGCCAGGAATCGAACCACCAACCTTCTGATCAGTAGATGACCTGCTCTCCCACCTGAGCTACAGCCACCCCAAACAACACGTGTGGGCACCAAATGCTGTAAGTTTACTGATGAAGCCAGCAGTGCAGTTTGGATTCAGACTTGGTCCAAATTAACACCAGTGTAGAAGTCAAACGACCATCTTCTTTTGAAAAATCTTTATTGGAATTGACACTCAAAGGCAAAATCAAGCTCCACCCACCTCGTCATTTGACCTGTTTGTATAATAAATGAAACGGATCACATGGCTGATCTCTGCTCTTCTAATAAACGTCTTTCCTTGTGAGCAGTAAAGTGGCAGATTTCAGCACATTAGGGGGTAAAAGTCTCGTCTGCTACAATGTAACAGCTGGATGTTACTTCAGAATGGAAACCAGTGTGAAAACGTGCTGATAAAATTCTGGTTTCTCCTACTGTTCCTCGTCCTCACGAGGTCAGAGGTGTAAGAATCCCAGCTGATTCAGTGATGTCAGTCTTAAGTGATGTCATCTGCTGTGACATTGTTTTATGATGGTACTTTAAGATATTTCCATGTGGAATAAACCAAAGTGTTCTTGTTTATAAGTCACAGAGCCTTTGTTCTTTCTGATCTTTTCTGTTTGTCTCTCAGGCATCCTCGCTGCAGCCCCTTCAAAGGCCTGCGGGCTCTTCTGGTGTTTGAGAAGCCGGTGGAACTCTGGGCCCAGCTGATGACCATGGGTGGAGGCTCCTCCGTCCGGCAGTTCCAAGCAGACAAAGACGACTCTGGTACAGGATCCACACAGTGATGTCCAAACAATGCACCCTGTCTCGCTGCTGTGCTGAAACTAATGCGTTCACTTTCCCGCTCCATCCTTAGACATTCCTGCTGGCAAGTATGACCTCGTGGTGACAGACCATGCCTGTCCGCCGCTGCTCGAGAAAAGCGCAACATCACAGGAAATCCCGCTGGTGTCTCCGGAGTGGCTCATCCAGAGTCTCATCTGCGGGGAGCGCCTGGCTTTCGATTGCAAGCCTCAGTTTTGCCACGACTATTCCTCGTCCTCGTCGTCCTCATAATCTGACCCCACGTGCAAAATGCCTTTGACCAAGCTAAATGTTGAGCGTTAGTTCTGTTGCATGCTTCTGCTGTATATAACTTGATCCTGTCCGTTTTTATGAGATAATAAATTGTGACCCTTGTTTCATTTTAATGCATTGATGTTTATTTTCTCCACACAAAATGGTACACGCAACAAGCCGTTAATATTTACAGTTTATACAAGAGTCAAAGGGAGGATTCACCCACGTTACATCCAGCAGTGCTTCTGTGAGCTCTGCCTCCGTGATCCAGCGTAGTTCGATGACAGGCTGCACATTGAATCCATGTCTGTGCTTTAGGCCAAGCTAAACATAAAGATTAGCATCCTACACTGGCAGCTGCCAGTGTAGGATGCTAATCTGTCAATTAGAATAGATGCATAGCAAAGTGTCGCCATGGCTACACGCATTTACAGAGATCTGATGGTTTAAAAAGCACTCGTTTTTTTTATTTTTGACAACTGTCTTACCCGTCTGTTCAGGGCTACCTACTGCTTTCACAAATAGGACCTTGCTTGCTCAGATATATGGTATGTGGTCATTTCAAATCCAGAAACCAGGTGATGTCACAATCTCATCTTCTACATCAATTCTACAGTTTTATCAAACAAAGATCAGACTGTTCTCCACGATCTCATCGACAAAGGGAACAAACAGACTTTTCCTTTGGTTGTTTGGGCCACACTGAACTACTTCCACTCAAGTTAAGACTTTCTCTTACATGTAAATGTCTTTTTTTGATGCAGTGAGCTCTACAAAAACAGCGACGTTCATTTTTCTTGCTTCTCATGTTAACTTCAGAGCAGTTTGATCATCTCTGCATGTAAAACAAACCCAAACTATCTGCTCAGTTCAGTATTACTACAGTGAAAGTGATCATTGTAATTTGGCTGTTCAAAGATTCGGTGGAGAACACTGATGGGAGTCTCTTCTGCAGGTTAAATAACTTCCTGTGCGCTCTTCTTAAACACTGAAAAAAGCAGGAAGTATATATTTTAGATTAACTGTGGTACATGATGACCGTCTGTTGAATTTTTCTGCACCTGGACATGCGCTATAGATGACGATCACACTGGTCCTACCTGCCCAGTGTGCCTCCAGCTTGGGTGTAGTATTTGTTGTAGTCCAGTCGCAGCAACAGCTGAGCCAGATCAGAGTTTATCTGATGGTTCCTAACACTCGACAGAATTTTGAACAGGAGGGATGACTGGCGTCTGAAGCCCTGAAATTTGACAGAGTTGGCATTACAAAAATCTCTTTACAGTTTCAGACAGAGGGAAAAAAGGTGTGTATTCGCTACCTTGACTAGCAGATCGAGCTGAGCGGTTCCCCTGTCGTCCAGTGAAACCACAGTCTGACTGACCAGAGAGCAGAAGTTATGGCACAGCTCGAGGATCTCGTTGAGGCAGTGAAACACCTGAAAGTGAGAGTAGGTGAGCAGAGCGGCCTCAGGTAAGGAGGGTGAAATGTAGCAGCTGAGCATCATTTCTGTTTGGCGTCTCATACCGGCTTCAGGAGGATGAAGGACTGGGCCAGCAGGTTACTGAGGAAATGATCGTGGGCCAGTCGGATGCTCTCAAAGTCTCTGGTGGAGTTGATCTGCTGAAGCAGCTGAGAGAACTGAGACTCCAGCACATCCACCTGCAGTTTAAATAATTCAAACAGCACGTGATTCTTTTTTCCTTGAATTATTATTCCTATGATGGTTTTTAACATCAGCTTGAGTTGGAATGGAGACTGATTGCATCAGACTTGGAAATGTCATTTAATTTAGCCACAAGTCAATTTTTAAGTAGGATATGGGAGAACTGGTTAAATCTCTCAGACCCTGAGCTGGAAAGTCTTTGATGGCACCTAAAACCTTTTGCAAAAGTCATTAAATGATAATCTTGTGCGCTGGTAGTTTCAAATTCTTGGCTGCATTGTTACCTGCAAATAATACTGCAAGTTGTCGATCAAGAAGGCCATGTGGTTGCGTAGCCTCCACTTCACAGCGTCCGTCTGGCTGGACTTCAGGTGTTTCCTCTGCATCTGCAGAGCCCAGCAGTGCTGCAGCTGTGACTGCACCCGCCTCACGCTCAGCAGGTACCTGAACACAACATTGTACCTGACCACACACACGAGGAGAGGACGGTGACTGGATGCACTGGGACTAAACACATCAAAGCTGCAGTAAGGGGTGAAAACACGCACTTCTCCAGCACAGCAGGAGTGAAGAGGATGTGCAGCGGCCACTGGACCTTGTAGGTGAGACCGAGGGCTGCCCAGCCTGTGGGAGGAACCTCGCGAGGGGAAGTGTCTTGTGGAGGAGTGGCTCCTTCTCTGGGGAGTGACGCATCTGAGAAAGCAGGCACAGTAACTAACCATCAGCTCGAGATAACAGGTGTAAGTACACCAGGTGAATACTGTCTGTAAGAGTGTGTGTGGGGGAGGGTTTAAAACCTGAAGTCTGCAGTTTATGGTGTGGCGAAACACACATCTGATATGTAGCGTTTGATTTAAGTGCTTCATAAATAAATAAATACTTGTTTGTATGTAGATTAGTCCTGTTAACAGTCTCTTAACACTGACTCTGATATTTAAAATAAAATAAATGACTAATTGTTCCTTTTACATGCTTTTATACTGGAATGACTAACAGCTCTCTCTCAGCCTATATGAACTTACATTTAGGGATGACTGTGATTAATGATAAATATGACATGTTGACGGTTTGAATGTAGGTATCTAAAAGGAACCTCTCCTATTTTAATCAAAGTTCTCCAAACCTCGTCTTCACACTGGCCTCAATCACAACATAAGAATGTTGTATCTGAAATGCATCTGCAGGGCAGGATGCTGGTTTTCCCTTTGTGGGAATGTTTTAGCCCCAACAGCTGGGATATCGAACCTTCAGTGAAGCGAGAACTTTGTACTTCTGTGTTTCATTCACTCTGTGATCCACGTTTCTGTTTATTCTGCTATGACTTCAAAAATAGGCCAAAATATACACGTTGTCCTGTACACCATAAGGGTATCTGACATCTGATCAGTAAACACAGTAGCTGTGTCACAGTATAAATTCTTTGTATTAACTGTAATAAAACACTGGACAGATGATGCAGCTGTAGACATACAGCTTTAACCTGATGACAAAGCATGAAGGCTTCATTTGGAAAAAACAGTTTCGGCCAGCAGAGGGCGCCACCCGCCACAGGCCGAGTTTTACGACATCAGGAGTGGGGCTCCTAAACAAAGGTTGCACTGTGACCCAGTGAGCCCACCTTTGCCGTCTTTGCCCTGGTAGTCCACGGTGAGGTGCAGCAGAGGCAGGAGGTTGTCATCGTCCAGCAGCACCTTATGAGCTGCCTGCTGGAAGGCTACGTTTACATCTGTGCAAAAGAAATTACATGATATGACGCTGCAAGAGCTTTGACCTTGAGTGTGCTTTTACCTTAATGCTGCTTTATGAGCAGAGACACAGAACCTGCACACATTTCAAGTCATGTGTCTGTTTCTTGCAAATGTTTTGTTTTATCATTAAGATTTTTCTTCTTTTTTTTTTGGCATGCAGCACGGCACGAAAGACGTGAACACATCATGACAAACAGCTGCATACTGTGTTTAACTGTGTAACTTACCTGTGAACAAATAAGCAGAGAGGGGAAGCTGTTTGAGAATATTTACCGTGCTCGGTGACAGCCGTCGGAGGAGTCTTCAGCATGTGCTGCGCCAGGTCAATAAAAACCTGGTAGAGCTCTCCGCGACCCAGGAGGTAGAAGTCCTTAATGATCTGGGAACAAAGAAAACACAAACATCAGCACGGTTCATTTCACGCTGATTTATGATGCAGAACCAAGGGCGATGAGGACAAACCTTGAGCTGCTCAAGCAGATCTGCCTCTTCCACCATTAGAGTCCAGAGGTGCTGCAAATCAGTAAGACAGCATGAGGGCTTTGTAAAAGCAGCTCGCTAGTTTTCCTTCTTTAATGCTAAAAATGATGCTGTCCCTGATGAGCTCACCTCTGCCACTGTGCTCCTTATGCGATCGATCAAATTCTCAAAATCCACCAGGCTGAAAAGCGTCTGCTGTTTGAGTCGATGCAGCTCAGCAGCAAACATGTCTTCCTGGTGTTTCAGTATAGAGCCTGAAAATACAAAGGAAACATGTTGGGTTGTTCCACACAAAAAGAAGAGGTCACACTCCAATAGGTTACAACAGAAGCTCCCAGTACCAGCTGTGGATGGGCTGTGGTTGTGGTTTTCAAACATCTGGACAGATTCTCCCACAAAGAGGATTTTCTCGGCCACTCGGATGGGGATGTAAGAAGGCAGCATCTCTGTGCGCAGGGAGAACTGCTGCAGAGATGGAGCCAGCATGTTCTCCTCCTCGATGAGCCTCTGCACAACAGCGCACACCGACATTAAAAGACACTCGCAGTTCAGCGCTGGATGCACGTCCGTGCGTGCCACTCACCAGGTCCTGTAATTCTCGGAGCTGCTTCCCGCTCAAGCCTCCGAGTCCCAGGTCTTCTTCTTCCTCCTCTTGGTTGGCAGCAGCTCCTCCAGCACTGGGACCCTGCTTCACAAAAAACTCCTCGCTTTGGTCCAGCAGCAGCCCGTGCAGCATCCAAGCTGCCAGCTGCTTGTACATCACACCGTGGCACACGGCCAAAATCCTGCACATTCAAAAAAACAAAAGGATAGCTGATATCAGTGTTCAATGATAAGAAAGTATAAACATCCTACTGATTCTATGGCACGTGCTGTCATGCAAGACAATGCACATTTATGCACATCCACAAAACGTTATTTTAGAAACAGCAGCAATGGACAACTACACCACGTCCAGTTCTATCCTCACACTGTGTGTTAGTGTTCATCTCTGTGTGTCTTTGGTCTCCCTGAGCCTGCTTCTGCTGCAGGTTTCTTCCTGTTAAAAGGGAGTTTTTCTTTTCCACTGTCGCCAAAGTGCTTGCTCATAGGGGGTCATATGATTGTCAGAGTTTCTCTACCTTACAGTATAAAGCACCTGAGGCGTTGGTGCTATATAAATACAACTAAATTTGACTGAGAAAGAGAAGAATGTGCAGACAGCAGCCACGCCTTAAAGTGTAACATGTTTAGTGTACGTGAGGACATGATTCACAGAATCCTGCTAAACAAACCTGAAGCTGGTGATTGAGACCATAAAGTAACCAGTGAAGTGTTTATGAAGCTGATCCAAAGCACTTCTGCTTCAGCTTTCAGGAACTTGAATCTGTCTTTAACATCAGCTCTACTGTTGCACACATGAACCTTCAAAACGAACGATTATTAGAGGAAGTACTGAACTCACTGTAGAAAACCCTTCAAAGCGTGGCACCATAATACAATCAACACCACAATGACAACTAGGCATTAAAAACAGTCCACAGGTTAATGAAGTTCACGTGCTTTGTCCTTTGTAGTTTGGAGCGGTGACAAACTCTCACATGAATAAGCAATCAAAGCACGGGTCGAGGTCACGAGGAATGAGCATCAATGAATTTGAATAGCTCGCTGGGATAAGTTTGTTTAGCTCATGAAGGAAACACCGACACAGGGTTACACACAGTCTCTGTGGCAGGATAACGTATGTATTTTTACACCAACGCTAAAACTGTGATAAACATAGACTTACTTTTCCAAGGCCATGCGTACCGGAGGTAGCCCCCCACAGCTGTGCTTGTACACCGTCTCCAGGATCTGGCAGCCGTGGATCTAATTCAGCAGACACAAGAGGTATTTACAACACGCCAGGCCCTCCTGATGCATTACAGAGCATCTCACTGTACGGTGACCAAGCGCTCATCTGAAGGTCCATTTTCATGACGATAACAACACATTTATCTATTCTATTATGGTCCATATACCATAGGAAACATGCTGGTATGCTACATTACTAAACAGAGAGAGAAGAGTATTCATTTCTTGGACTTTCAGTGAACAGATGCTGGAGAAGTGCTGCTGTCTCTCCTTTATTCAGTAATGATGTGTCTCTGCTTTACCTTCTGTGACTTTATCGTCTCGACCACCACCATCACAGATGGAAACAGCAACTGGAACTAAACAAACACAAACCAAGTCAGCATTAGATTTTAGTTAAGAAGAAAATCTTCATGTGTTTTTTAGTCTTTACCTGATCAAGCTTGTAGTTAACATGGGATATCGTCAGATGTGGATCTCCGAGGAACTGAAACAAACAAGAGAGTGAAATGAGCCTCGTCTCACACGCGGTGCTGTTCTTGGCTCTTTCCTGACTTTACCTCTTGTTCGAGGTCCAGCAGGGCCTGCCTGTAGGGCTGCAGCATGGAGTCCAGCCCCGTGCAGAAAGCCCGCAGGTAAATCCCATGAAGCCCGGTCTGGCTGGGCTGGCTGCTGTGATGCTCCTGCACAGCAGGGACGTATTACTGAACAATGAGACTGTGTCTAAGACGCAGTCAAAAAGAAAAAAAATCATCACATATAAATGTTTTAGGACTCACTTGTGGATGAACATGTCCCGTGTGTTGTTCTATAAACTCTGTAAAGCGTATATAATCTGAGCCCAGTTTACAGAGTCTGTTGAGGACACTGGTCTCACTGGGGTGAAGGAAGGGCAGGTCCTGGGACACCTGAAGGTGACGTAAAAACAAGTTATGTGTGCCTAAGAAATGCATAAAAGTTAGAATGATGGATTACACCAACGCGCCTCCTTTCCTCTGATTTCAGTCACTATTAATACTGTAAAATGCAACAGTTTCATCCAGACGAGGCTAAATCAGTAAATCGCTTCTCCTTTGTCCTTTAAATGACTAAATAAAGTTGAATCAGAATCAGAGAAACTTTATTTATTGCAGGGCGTTGTCATAGTAACCTACAACAAAGCAATCTTAAAAATAAAGTGCTGATAAAGAGATAAATATATAACCATTTAACATAAAATATAACACTGATACTTCATTTTATGTATGTCTCTTGCTAGTTCTGACGTGATGCATTTTCATGGTGTGTTTTACTGTTACCGTCATTCCTGCTGTTCTGAGCTCGTAGTTCCCATGGGTTGCCTGTACATACATTATACAGTCTCTGACCATATTTCAGATAAGTGTGCACTACCCCAACATTACACATGAACAATGACAAATAAACAAAATCAATGTACTTCTTTTTAGCAGAACTGAGCCATGACATCATTACTTGCACTATTTTAACCATTTCACATGTCTGCAGTGAAAACGTTCAGTTGTTGTGACTCAGCACACTGTATGTGCACAGGTCTTACATGTGCAGTGAAGATGACATCATGACATAATCTGCAACTGGTGCGTCGTTCCCGTTTCCTGAAGTGGCTGAAAGTGTTCACTACAGAGTTGCTAGTATTCGATTATTTACTGGATGCTGTGTTTTTGTAATGAGGGCAGCAGAATGCTGCACAGCCTGGCACCGTCACATCAGACCTGTGTGCAGCTTGCATGATGTTTGCATGCATTCCCAATACAGTCAGGCACACATGCAGCCTGGCTGAACACTGTGACTGGGAGCAGTTGCCTCCCTGTGTTACCCCTAATGATTATCTTTGAAACTTGTCTAATAAATTAATTATACACTGAATATTTCAGCCACAACTCACTACCTGGGTTTTTCTTATCAGAGACCCCAGGTACTCTGATAATATGTATGTATATGAATATGAATCTCCAAAAGCTGTTCATCTGGACGTTTTCAGTGGGAGAAACGTTTCGTCACCATCCAGGTGACGTCTTCAGTCTCAGCTGACTGCAGGTTTCAATCTTATAAACAGTACATTTGCATAATGACTGAAACCAGCCCACTGAAGGAACAATGGGTTGGGAGGTCAGTTCCTTCATCATGACTATGCAAATTCTCATGACCATTGATCAACAACCACTGATCAATAACCATGAGTACCACTCAGAGAGAGTTGGGGAATGGCTGCAATCACAGCATTGTAAGATGGCGAAATGCGGTTATCCTAATTGGGCTTTTATCAAGTCAGCAAAGATGCAGAGAAGAGAAGATCAGACACCAGCGAGGGAGGATAAGAAAGACAGACACAACAACATCCCCTATGTAGCCGGTGCATCAGAGAAACTCAGGAGAGTTTTCTCCAAGTACGACATCCCAGATTACTTCAGACCCAGCAACACGCTCAGACCCAAACTGGTTCACCCGAAAGACAAAACTCCTAAACATAAATTTAATAATGTAGTGTATGATGCCAGACCTCTACATTGGAGAGACCAAACAGCCACTTCATAAGCGCATGGCACAACATAGAAGAGCCACCTCCACGGGACAAGACTCAGCTGTTCATCTGCATCTGAAGGTCAAAGGTCACTCTTTCGAGGCCGCCAATGTTCATATTTTGGACAGAGAGGATAGATGGTTTGAAAGGAGTGAAAGAAGCCATTTATGTCCACTGTGAGCGACCATCTTTGAGCAAAGGCGGGGTTTACAACACCAACTGTCTGCCATCTATAATCCAGTTTTGAGATCTTTCCCAGACACCTTAACGCCCACTCACATCCTGGGCCATCTGACCTCAGGAAATCACATGATAGGGTGGGGCCAGGTTTCACAATGAGCTCACCCGAAACCCTGGCTGATTGTGACCTTGGCTCGTGTGATTAGGTAGAGGATCACCAGGGGGTCCTTTGTCCCTCTCGGAGGAAACTCCCACAGGGCTTTAATCTGGGACTCTCCACCATTTGACCTTAGAACTGAAGAAGCTTTTCTGATGAGAGGTGAAACGTCTTCAAGCAACTGCTTGGCTCTGCTTCGTGAGCCACCATTATCTTTATTGCCGCTCGTCCATTTCAACATAAAACACACCCACTTTCGTGACAGCAAACACTCCCCGTTGCCACTACGGTGGACCACAAGGGACAGTAAGCACGGAGTGCAAACATTATCAGCAATACAACATCTCCCTTTTTTTTTAGATGCCCACCAGTGACACAGCTGGTATACATTTCAAAATAGAACATCCCGAACCTGAGGATAAGGAACAGTTTTTCAACATTGCCATGTGTAAAATTACTGCGGCCTAAACTAACAACAACAATGCGATGTGGGATATGCACTCATTAGTACATGGACATTTGACATGTTTCCTTTTTGTTTTTTGTTAGGGCAGCGATCCGCCTACACCCTTTACATCACAGGTCAAGAATAACCCTCGGTTTGACCACTCATCCTGATCTGGTGGTCAGTGCAGGGCTAGTGTCCATGGTTGGTGTTGTAGTGTCTCTAGATAGTGACAGGGGCTCTGCTTGTTGTTGAGCCGCACTATCTGGCTGGGTTACCAGATCGGATGTTGGTGCTGAAGGTGCCGGTGACGCCTTGGCGCCTCTCAGGTGCCGTCGGTTACGCCGTATAGTCTGTCCCTCGCCAGTGCGGATCACGAAAGAGCGGGCAGTCTCTGCAGGTCGGATGATGACAGCCGGTTTCCAGGCTCCGGACTCGTGCTGAAAGCGAATGTGGTCCCCCTGCTGCAGCCTCGGTAGTGGTGTGGCGCTGCGATTGTAGTAACGCCTCTGATGCTCTTGTCTTTCCATCCGTGTTTTTTGCACAACCGTCGGGCTTATGATGCGAGGTACCAGGTGGCATCCGGTAACAGGAAGCACTGAGCGTAGACGTCGACTCATGAGGAGCTGCGCGGGTGACCTGAAGCTGTCGACTGGCGTGTTCCTTTGCTCCAATAGGGACAGGTAGGGATCTACTCCCTGAGCATGAGCTTTATCCAGAACTGATTTGGCCGTCTTGACTGTTCTTTCGGCAAGGCCGTTGCTTTGCGGGTACAAAGGACTTGAGGTCGTGTGGACAAAGTCCCATGTGACTGCAAAATCCTTGAACTCTCGAGAGCTGTATTGTGGGCCGTTATCTGAGATAAGCGTCTCTGGTATACCATGTCTGGCGAATATGGCCTTGAGCTTTTTGATGATGGACCCTGCAGTGGTAGAGAATAGCCTTTCGACCTCAAAGTAGCGGCTGTAGTAGTCCACAAGTAGTCCCGTCCACGCCATGTGAAGAGATCTGAGGCCACTGCCTGCCATGGCCTCTCAGGGATCTGGTGTGGGATGAGAGGTTCTTTGGGATTCGCCGCGCGCCTCTCCTGACATATGGAACAGTTTTCCACCGTGGCAGCTATGTCCTTGCCCATGCCTGGCCAGAAGAGGGCTCTTGCTCTCTGCTTACTCCTCTCAATCCCCATGTGCCCAGTGTGGATTCTCTCCAGCATGTTGTTTCTTAGGGCTGTTGGCACTATAATTTTGTCACCTTTGAAGATGATGCCATGGGAGTGTGAAATTTCATCTCTGAAAGTCCAGAAGTCCAAAAGGGTTTTGGGGCATTTTTTCTGTCCTCAGGCCAGCCATCCTGCACAGTTTGCTTCAGCAGGGTGAGCTGCGGGTCGCATCCTGTTGCAGCCTGTATCTCTGAGAGTTTTTTGTCACTTACTGGGAGGCTGTTTATCACCGAGTGGATCTGGTCCTCCATGCCTTCACTCAGCGTGCTGTCTTGGTCGGGCAATGGTTTCCTGGACAGTGTGTCGGCCACAGGTATGTCTTTTCCGGGCCGGTGCACGATCTCTATGTCGTATCTCTGCAGCTGTAACAGCATGCGCTGCAGACGAGCAGGGGCTACAGAGATTGGTTTCTTCAGTATGTGCTCCAACGGCTTGTGGTCCGACTCTACGATGACTCTCCTGCCGTATATATACGTGTGGAAATGCTTGCATCCAAACAGCACTGCAAAGAGCTCTTTTTCGATCTGTGCATAGTTGACTTCTGTTAGGGTCAGTGTCTTTGAAGCATATGCTATTGGATGTCCGTCCTGCATTAACACAGCTCCCAAACCATACTTTGATGCATCTACCTGTAGCCGTAGCTCCTTGGTCGTGTCGTAGTATGCCAGTATGGGGCCTGGTTCTCTGGTTATGAGATCTTTCATTTGCTGGAAGACTCTGTCGTGGGTCTGATCCCAGATGAACTCTGAGTCTTGTTTGAGCAGCTGACGCAGCGGTGCGTTCACCTCTGATAGTCGTGGTGCGAATCTGGACAGGTAGTTCGCCATTCCAAGGATTGTCTCAAGCTCATTCTTATTCTCAGGAGGTGGCATGTCCTTTATGGCCTGCAGTTTCTTTGGGTCTGGCTGGATGCCCTCCCGGGTGAGTTTGTGTCCAAAGTAGCTCACTTCTGTGGCGCCTATGACACATTTCTCTGGATTGAGACGTACTCCTCGCTCCCGTGTGCGCTCAAGCATGGCACGGAGGTTCTCGTCGTGTTCCTCCTTTGTCCTGCCAAACACGAGGATGTCATCCACGATGGCTGCCACTCCATTGAGCCCTTCATACGTCTCATCGATTTTCCTTTGGAAAATGTCCTGTGCTGATATTATCCCAAAAGGAAGGCGCAGAAAACGGTACCTGCCAAAGGTCGTGTTGAAGGTGGTGAGGAGCGATGACTTGGTGGTTAGTTGGATGGCCCAATAGCCTGAGCGAGCATCCATGACACTGAAGTACTGTGCTCCTGCCAGCTTTGGTGTGATGTCATCCAATGTTGGAAGCGGGTAATGAGGTCTTTTGATGGCTTTGTTTAATTCGCGAGGATCGAGGCATACTCTGAGCTTCCCAGTACGCTTCTCTGCGACCACCAGTCCGTTTACCCATTCTGTGGGTTCTTTTACTTTGATGATTATGCCGTTTTTCTCCATGTCATCCAACTCCCGTTTCAGTCGTTCCCACAGTGTGAAAGGGATCCTCCGGGGGGGGGCACACAACGGGCATGGCGTCTGGGTCAATGTGTAAGTCGCATTCTCCTGGGAATTTCCCTATGCCCTCGAACACATCGGCAAACTCCTCCATGACATTTGTGATCTGTACTGACATGACCAGCTTGACTAGGTTTAGATCCAGGCATGCTCTCAACCCTAGGATGGGGGGTGCTGCAGTGTCTACTATGTCAAATGTCAGCATCTTGTGAATGCCTTTCCACCTGCACTTCAACTGGCATGTGCCCTTGATGTTGAGTTTTTCTCCTCCATAGCCAGATAGTGTGCGTGTGGGCGGTGCCAAGCTAACCTGCTTAAAACACTTCTTAAACAATCGGGCAGGGATGACGTTAGCAGTGGCTCCTGTGTCAAGCTTAAAACTCACGGTGTGATGCAGTGAGCCTACTTCTACGTCGGCGTAAGCCTGTTCATCGGCCTCCCCTTCGTTGCACTTTGTTATGGAATCTATGAATAGCTCCGCTTCATCGCTTGGAGTGTCAGGGTTAATAGAGTACACTGGGTTGGGTTGGTGTGGTGCTTGTGAACGGCATGCTTTGGCAAAGTGGTTCATTTTATTGCACTTTTTGCACCTCTTCCCTTTTGCAGGACACTCCTCCTTCTGGCTGTGTGCTCGTGCACATCTTCCACACACTTTTCCCATCTTATTATAATGAGGTGCCCTCCTATCTTTTGTTTGTGTCCAAAGTTTGTGTCCAAAGTATCCCACTTCTGACACCATGTAATATTCTGTCTCAAACTTATGAATAACGTGTTCATAATCTGCTTCGTGAGCCACCATTATCTTTATTGCCGCTCGTCCATTTCAACATAAAACACACCCACTTTCGTGACAGCAAACACTCCCCGTTGCCACTACGGTGGACCACAAGGGACAGTAAGCACGGAGTGCAAACATTATCAGCAATACAACAGTCCAGACGCTTTTCTTTCCAAGCTCTTTAGACTACGATGACCTGGATGACTGAGGACCTTCAGCAGGTCCTCTTGAATATGTTTACATGCCAAAATGCATCGATTTGCAGTAATGTGATTGGCTGATACTCGCGTAAACGAACAGGGGTACCTAATAAAGAGGCAGGTGAGTGACGTTTCATCTTGCAGTATTTAAACCTGCCAATTGTCTCGTTCAGTAACTATCCTAGCAAAAATGTATATCCTTAATATAGTGCTACCAAAGCTAATAATTTAGCTCATGCATAATTAAATTGTAATACATTGCCAAGCTTTGACTTGTAACCACATGCATATTAGCTAACATCTGGGCGAAGTTATCGTATCGGAGAACTGCAGTGTTTCCGTGTTACCTGTAAACCGGTTCGTTTGTTCCATGTAAAAATCGTCCCCGGGTATCCGCTCAGCGCCAGTAAGAGCTCGTGAATCATGTCAATTAAACTTAAAGTGTCTGAAATTGAAATGTAGCGGAGAGATTCCCATTCAGCCACCAAAACAAACCGCCGCCGGAGCCGTCGCAGATTTGTTACGTGAGCGCGAAAAGCATCACGGGAAGAGTGCTGCCGGAGCAGGAGACAGTACTCCTCGGTAGTGGAGTAGTCAGGCTTGCGATGTTATTTGTTTTTAAAATCGACAAGAGCTTTTAGCAACTCCAAGCGTGCTTTGTTTGGATTTCAATGAGCTCTGTGATATACACAAGCCAGCTCATGGGAATTGTAGTTTTTTTTCCTGTGCACTAAGATATTGTCGCGAGTCTGGCGTCATCATTCGGCCATGTAACTAGCTGAAACGCATCGCAACGGAGAGCGTTTGGTATGTCGTAGTTACTGTATAAAATACAAACTTTATATTTCCTGTGCAAGCAACGGCAACCCCGTTACTCTCGTTTATGTCTGTGTTTTTGCTGTTAGCGTGTCTTCTGCTGTAGCTAATGTTATTCCACTAGCCGTATGTCCTAACGTTAGTTCGTGGAGTCGGTTTGTTGGGTCCACTCTGGTATATTTACTAGTTGACACAACAAACGTTAGGCTGCTCTCAGGCAAGTCAGCAGGAAAACACCAGCGGTTTAAAACTAGTAGGGCCACCGCCATTTTACGTCATCTTGTTGAGTTTAAGTGGCGTGATTCACGCTAGCACTGCTAACCGCTAACAAATAAATAAGCTGCTGCTAGTTTTCTGTTGTTCTTCTAACCGTAAAACCGTGTCTGAATGCAGGGATGGCGGGGGAGAGTGGCGGAGAGGACGTGGTTGCAGAGTACCTGGGCCAGAATCCGCAGCTGGCCCAATGGGTGGAAACATTCAGAAGCTACTGTGAAAGCAACAAGCAGTGGGTCGCTCGGAGAGAGTTCATCCTTAGGAACATGGAGGCTTTCCCGACAGTGAAGCCAGGAGTCTCCAGCAGCAGCCTGGACAGGCTGCTCTCTTTGTCCATGGTCTGGGCTAATCACGTTTTCCTGGGCTGCAGGTAGGACACGCTGATGAAGCAGAATGACAAAGCTGTGGATGCTCTCCGCTAAAACAAGAGTTCATTGTTACCTTTTAAATCCCTCAGCTATCCACAGGCTGTAATGGACAAGATCAAAGAGATGGGAGAAGGGATAAAAGTCCAAGATCCTCCTGTTCACAAAACAACAAAAGATGAATTCACTGCCAGAGGAAAGAGGAGCGCATCAGCTGGTAAGCAGTGCACATGTTTAACATTTCATCTTCACAGGTTAACTACATGTTATTTAATGGGGTCCAGGTTTTTCTGCTGCTGCTTGGTAACGACAGAAAATCATAATTAATTGATTTCGGCTACTCATTAATGCAAGACACAATCATGCATTTGTTGCACTTAGAAGGCAGCTGTTAATGATCCTCCTCAAAGGTTGCCTTTTGTAACCTTGGCATAATAGTTACTTCCTGTTGACCACAGGCTCCATCCATCCTCAGGGATCGAGCTGAGTTTTAGCCAAATTTGACCCCTGTAGAGAAATGGGGACACTCGATGACAAAACAAATGAATGCAGAAGAATATTTCTTTTATGCAGATTACCTAATCATTAGGAGCCCAAATAATAATTGAAATATAATGCAAATAATTGCAAAGCTGAGTGTTTGGCCTGCAGTCTCATACTTCTACCTTCTGTGGAATATTCAGGGTGATACATACATAGAAAACCAATGGTGACAGGTGACATTAACACACCTGTACAGATGATGTCATCAAAAACAGCCGTAAAGATAATATTCTACAGCCATGTTGATTTGGCTGTAGTTGTGTATATTATTTAAAAGCCCCGTTAACAATGCTTAAATGCTTATCGTGCATTGTGATTGCATTGGATTCAAATACTATTAGTGACTTCACGCTCTGAATTTCCACTGGAACATCGCCGCAGGTCAGATTCCCAACTCAGAAAGTCGGAGCAGCCGACCAAGCCTGACTCAACAATCCATGATGGCGGCTGTGAATGCAAACAGCAGTAAATCTGTAATACTTTAAATCTGGATTGTGTCTGTTGTGTGTTTGTGACTAAGCCGCAGACAGAGCAGGGAGCAGCATCTACCACAAACGGGCTGCAGGGTGTTTAAGTGCAAAAAACAAACACTGCATGCTAAGAAGCAAAAGAGATCCTGTCACACGTGTGACCACGGACATATATGAACACAGAGTAACATTTACATTAGTTTCATTCCCCATGATAACAGCTTAAGGTTACCTTGGACGGCCTTTACAAGTGATGTGACTTCAATCCAAGAATAGATTTGACAGTTTTCTGTAGCTCGTTACAACAAATCCATTCACTGCTGTTCTCTGTTGCTGTGAGGTTTCAGTGTGTTTTCTCCACACCCACACCTGAGGCTCCGTTTCCTCATTAAATGCAGATCCCTGTGCAGTGAACGTTTTCCTGCCTGCTGTGTCGTCTTTTGCAGAGCTTGAGGATGACACCTGCGTGAAAAGAGCCAAGGCTGGGCCTAATGAGCTCGACAGCAGACCTACGCTCAGGACGGCGGCGCGGCCTGCGAGTCAGAAGCTGGGACCACCTCCACAGGCTCCAGCTGAGCACCAGCCCTTCTTCAACCGCCTGTACAAGGCTGTGGCGTGGAAGCTGGTGTCGGCCGGGGGCTTTGGGCCCAACTTGGACCATTTTGAAATCCTTCGCAGCTGCGTGGAGTCGTGCAAGCAAACCCTGACGTGCGTGTTTGTGCCGCTTAAGGACATCACGGGCCTCCCCGCAGGACGCACACAGAAGGAAGGCCACGTGTGTGAAATTCGCTGTCAGACTGTTTTCATGGGCACAGGATATGGGCGTGACGAGGCCGCTGCCAGAGCCATGGCTTCCAAAGAAGCCCTTAAAGTATTTCAGGGGCGGAAAGTCACTGTAAAGATCTGTCGGCGGAGGTACAAAGGAAAAGACGTGGATGATCTGATGCTGTTGGATGAACAGCCCCGCAGTCAGGGCTTTCCTCCTGCTCTCAGCTACCCTTTTCAGGACGAGCAGCTGGAAGACGGTTCATCGTAGAAGCTTTGACTGGGCGGAGCTACTGAAGGTGTTCGCGCCTGTGTCGGGACCAGACTGTTATGCAGCTGACCATCGTAGCTAATCCCAGAGAATATTAGGTAACTTGGAGCATTAACTGTCATGGTGCATTTCACACAATACCTTCATTTCTAAATAATCTTACCTGGTACCTGATATTTTCAGCCATTATCTGAGTTGTAAAGACAGCAAACAGCGAACCAAAGTGTGGAGTGGGCGCCTGTGGCACTGGTTAAAAGCAGCCACCAATGAGCAAAACTGCAATATTACACCGTTTGACTGTTTAAGCAGTTTGGCCAGTAGCTCGTCCCCACTTCCTGTGTCACAGCTTTTTATTTGCTGATTTCATGACTGTAACACAGGAGTACATGAGGTGTTATTTGATTGGTAGGGATCGAGTTTTTTAGGTTCCAACTTACAAGCAAAGTGAGTCACACGGTCTCAACAATAACAGCTTCAATAACCTGTCAGGGTAACGATTCTCTTCTAAACATGATGTTCCTTACTGAGAATATTAAAAACATCAGACTGTGGCGCACCAGTCCACATTTAGTTTACTTTTTTCTTGTTTCAGTGATAAATGTCAGTCTTTTCCTTTAATTGTACTTGTGAAGGGTTGCAATGACATTGTTCTGTCGTGAGCTGCACTTAAAGAGGGGGACCTCTCATGCTCATTCCCATCTCTGTAACATAATTCACAATCATTCTTCCTTGTTTTCAGCCCCTCCCCCTGTCTGAAACCAGCTGATTCAGCTCCTTTCCCTCTCAGTCAGCTGTATTCTAATTGGCTGCCTGTCATGAACAGCAGTATGATCAGTGTGCTGTAAGCCACGCCTGCTCTCGCTGATGTCATACAGAGCCAAGAGGAGAAAAACTGGCAGCTTTTGGCTCACACCTGTTACTTGCACATTCCCTGGTTTTTCTAAACACTGGTTTTATTGTTAATATGAGCGTCGCCCACTGTAACAGTACATGTGATATCATATTAGGCTGCACCTTATTGAATTGATCACATTATTCTTAATTTTTTGATTAGCTTGGAGAAACAGTGCGTTGATTATGTCTTAGTTGAGATAAACTTCTGAAATCCTGGTTACAGTCATGGTTACTGGTTTGCAGTTCTTCATGGAACTGGCATCCCAGGCTTAAGTGATTTAAAAACATGTCCACACAGACTTAACTAAAGATTGTTTGTTTTATTATTATTCAGACAGAAACTGAGGGAGACTCTGCCAACTACAGTACCTGTTTGACTGTAAATGCTACTGCTTTTCTTTGATATTATTATTAATAAGTTGATGTTTAAAAAAGAGAAAGTTTGAAGTATTTGGTTGTTAATATGAAGAATGTGCGTTTGGACACGCGTGTGTGTTTCTGATGTGTTTGAGGGTAACGTGCTGCCGTAACGTGTTTGTTTCTTTCTTGCAGTCTCGGTTGAAATTGAACAGGGTTGCGTTAAATTGTGAGTATCTGTACTGTTCCATGTACGTTTACACCAGTGCTCCTGTTTCTATATAATTTTTAAATAAACCAAATTGAAACTAAGCTAAGTGTGTTTTGTGTGAGCGCCAGAGCTCGAGGGGCGATCGTTACGCTCTCTTAAACCTAATGATCTCATTTCACTTTGAGGATTTCTGAACAGAAATCTGGACTCCACGAGCGACTCGGGTCACGTATTTCCTCTCGATAACGTTAATTAGCTCAAGTTCATCCACAGCTGCACTTCCTGACTCAGTGGCTCATTAGAGATCGTAAAGCGATCGCGGCTGAGGAGCCGTCAGTGATTTGAGTAACATTCATGCTCCACCTCCTCCCACAGCTGAAATTAACTTATTGTTTATATAAGCAGGCTTCGGGCCTGTTCGACACAGCTGAGTGAACTGCATTCACATGACTGGGCTCTTATTTATTTTCCACTGGACACAGGCCACGATTCGCTCGGGTTTATGGTCGAAACAGGAAAATGATCAGTGGAAAATGGGCGCGTCACATTTGCATGGCCTATTCAAAAAGGTCCTAAATATTTGTTTCTGTAGAAACATAAAAAACCAAACACAAAAATGCACATTACTGGA